CGGCACGCGTCCCCGCCTCAGGGAGCCGCGGCCGTTATCGGCGCGCTCCAGGGCCTGCGGCTGGGGCTGCCTCTGGAGCGAGTCTCAGCCCGCCCGCCAGCCGTGGGGGAAGGGAGGCTCCCCGCCGCCGGTCGCGGCCTTTATCGTAAAGACCAGCTAGCGGGGCGGGCGGAAAAGGCAGAGGCCTCTTGTGCGGGCGGTGATGGGCCGCCCGCCCGCGGCACGTTCGTCCGCGCCCCTACGCGTGGAAACCCCGCCGCCCCGGGGGACTGCGGCCCGGCCTGGCCCGCCGGGGCTGGCACCCTCGGACCCGGCTCAGAGAGGACAAGTTTCCCCCCGCTCCCGTTTCTTGAGTCCAGTATTTTGTAAGTCAAATCTTGTCATCGTGAAGAATAGTTCTGGGATAGACCGCGAAAATGTAAGCTGGGAAAGAATTTTTAACAAGTCGTTCAGAAAAAGGCCGTTTATTAAAAGAGCTTCTTTAGGTGAATGTATGCTGAGACGCAAGTATAAAATAGGACCAAAGCATCACGAAGGGAGTATTTGAAAATGCGTTGGCTGTAGTAGTGTAACTTAATGCCAGCAATCAAGCAAATTAGAAGAAGAAAATAGTCTCTGGTTTTAATAACTTCCACTATTTTAACATCTGTCATTGTGATTTTCAAATGCCCAGGACAGAAAGAAAGGACCTTTGACATGGGCTAGCGATTAGAAAACAGATTTACAATGTGGCATCATTGGCAACAAACTGATATTCCCAGCTTGAAAATGACCCTGGTCATTCAGTTAAGTAATTTACCTCATAATCCAAATAGTAAGTAGTGTTTGGCTAAATTTGATAAAAGTCAGAGGAAATCGTAGGGCATTTTGACAAGAAGTGAATTCCAGAGAAAGGAAATAACTGTAACAAAGCAATCTCGCTTACATGCTGGTCAGATTCCAGGAATTAAAACCAAAACAAAACCCAGGCTTTGTCAAGTTCCCGTTGTACCTTTAGTACTGATAAGGATGGGACTTGAAAGCTACTGTGTGTATGTGTTTGCTTTACTTGAATACGTTTTACTTTTTTCAGCTTTTATTGTCTCACTTATACAAGGGTGTAAGTGTTTATATATAAAACTATATGGCAAGTTTGTTTCCATTTCTTAAAATAAGTATTACTGATATATAAAGGTCTCATGAGTCTCTCGTAATGCTCAGCACTACATGGTCATATAAGAGCTGATTACGATTTATTGTGATATCAGTGTAGGATATGTGAAAAGACAGCAGCATCAAAGATTTTAAATTTGGACACACAGCTGCAATTATTTCACTTCATAGCTTTCATTGGTGCTAAGCATCAGCAGTTCCCATTGATGAAGTTCCACAGAAAGACAGAGATGCCAAACAACTGAGAGCAGCAGTTCCTGACCTTGAGGCAGAAACACCACCGCAGGTAAATGTACCCAATAATGCCTTGGGAGAGTGGTATGTTCAGGCTGGAATTGACAGCAACCAACACAGTCTAGCTCTTCCCTGAAGTTTGCACCCTGTTGCTGTCCATGACATGAGCCTCACCTGCCAGAGAGGGAAGCGCTGCTTTCTGTGGTATATTAACCAACAGCCTTGACACTGTGATTTTTCCTTCAGAAAATGGTTAGGTATGTCTCCTTTCTAGCATACCTGGGATGGAAGAGGAAGAAGACTCCCATGCTTTAAGCCCCCCATGGGTTAGAGTGTTCTTGTAGTATTTGGAATACCTCCTTTTAATTGCTGCTTTCCTAAGGAGGCCTGAACAGAACAGTACTACTTATTAGGAAAATGCCTTAAGTAGACAGTACTTCCACCTTTAGCAGATAGGCTGTTTGGCATATGTGGGACATTGGATGTGTTTTTTCAGTTCTCACTTTTAACATCCTTCTTCTTTTCATGAATGTTTAAGCAGTCAGAATGTGAGTGAGAGGGAGAAAATAATTCTTCAGGCTAATGGTTGCTACACCTATCTAAGACGAAGATCTGTTCTAGTGCATGTTTATATATTTCATATAAAACCCTAGGTCTGGATAATTTTTTTCCCCGTTTTATGCTACACTGTAAAAATAAATTCAATTATTGGATCACGACCTGAAACTCCGTGCTTCCGGAGTTCCACAGTATTCTACTACTCTTAAAACACTGCTAAGTTACTCCCTTTCTTGAAATTCTCTTTCTCCACACCCTGTAGGCCTACAATGTAGTGTTCAGGACAAACTCTGGAATTTGTTTTTGCATCCTAGAAGGAACAGGCATTCAGGTGTTAACAGCTGAATCTTGGAGATTCCTATTGTCATTTTAAGAGATTACCACACACAGGCTTTCTGCCCTGTCTTTATTGGAAGCTTCGATACCTGGTCCTGGTAGGAAATGTGGTCCCTCTCTACAGCTGCTATTCAGAGCCAAAAACATTGTCAGGGTTTTGGGTTCAGGATAAACTGATACATCTGGCTCGGGTAAAGAAAGCCATACCTAGCATGTGGGCTTAGTTACAAGCTAGATACTGACCTAGAGAGCTCTAAAGGTATATTCAAAGAATGTACAGTCTGTAGAGATACCCTAACTCATTCTGATAAAATCAGCTGCAAACAGCTGAGGAGTCAGCATGTTTATTTCTGCTAACTTTGCTTCTGTGTCAGGCTTATCTGTGAAGAAATTAATCTTAAGGTTTTATTTCTTGTCATTAGACTTTTCTTGAAAACTTGATGAAAATCAAAAGCATTGAAAGTGTGTGGAATCTTGAGCTTTTTTTAAAATCACTTTGCAGAAACATTGTAGGTTTAGCACAGTTTAGTATGGTTCAGAATGGCTTGATAGAAAATGCCAATTTTTATAGTGTTTGTTGAGCTTGCCATTAAGGTGTGCTGTAATTTTAAGGAATGTATGATTGTCCTAAAATATTTGAATTTTAAAGCAATCCTTTGAATACAACTTAGCAATATCTAGTGTATCCATTGGGAGTGCTTCCAGTATTCTTTCCTGGATGCTAACAAGTCTTGGACCATATCCATAAAGGCTTACACTTACAAAAAAAAAAACCCAAACCAACCAACCAACCAAAATTATATTAATATAAAGGTTTATAGTATAATTAAGAAAACAAAATATTTTAATATAAAGAATAATAGCTTATACCTGAAATGCTTCTAAGCTGACTCCCAGTACTGCTTTCTGACTTTATGAGAAGGTAGTGTTTAAAACAAAGGGTTTGGAGTCAGAGGTTTAGCAAAGACAACCTAAAAATGCCTCCTTAAGTCTGTTTATATCACCATGAAAACATGGTAAAATAAACAAATACATTTTAGTAGCGTGTGTAATCCCAATAATGCAGTACCCATGTTGGAATTAATACATATTTAGTTCTATAATACATTGAGTTATATGGGTCACATCTTGTGTCACTGTGTGTATATCCACTATTCCCCTTCCCACTCATGACTTACGTAACTGCAGCATGTATTTGCATTAAACAGCTCTTTTATGAATATTTATATATTTATGTCATCTTTTAATGCAGTTAAACAGTGGGAAATGAAGACTTCTGGCAATGTATTACCAGTCACAACTCTGCAGAGCTCCAACTAATACTTTGAAGAATAGCAGCAATCCTGGAACCAGATTTTCAAAACAGATGTGCGTGAAAATCTGAAGGTAAATTTGATTTAGCATTTATTAATGTAGTTAAAAGACATATAAAAATAAAAGGAGCAGAGTGTGTCATTTTAAATAAACATTATTAAACTTTACCTCTATTTAATAGTCAAAGCTTGTTTTACTAAAATAGGTAAGGGCATTTGTTTGTGTGTGAGTCTACAGCTTCTGTGCCAACATTAACAACTGTGAGCTTAGCTTGATAATAACCAGGCAAAGATTATAAAATCAGTAGTGCCAGCTGCCTGGCCTGTGTACAATCAGGCTTTCATGAAAAATCTGGGGACTGGATTTGACAGAACCAGAAAACAGCTGTTCTCAACAGCACGCTTCCGCTCAGAAAATACAGCTGAGTGAGAATTAATGCTCCTTTTCACATTAGTGCACTTTCCACTGATCCTTGTGGCAGCTGTTGCTGTGCTTCCTCTAAACACTTAAACTGGAGTTGTACTAGAACTGCATGCAGCAATTGGTGAAAGTCCTGAAATTTCAGGGAATTGGACTAGGTAAATCATGTGTTGGTTTTGTGATCTTTGTCCTTTCAGTATCACACTTCCCAGAGCCATAGTGGGTTAGTTTGATACCCAGGCAGGATAATAATTTGGTCCCACACCCCAGCTGTCTATCTTAGAAGCAGCTGACTCTCTTACACTTGGAGGAAGATTGTATGGAAAATTCTATAGGCCATAACTGGCCCCTATAGAAATAAAAATTAAAATTTTGGGGTATCTTCCTTTTACTATGCAATGATAGTTTAATGACTGGATGTGTATTTGCAGCTCTACTACTTCCCTGCTGATGACTGTGAGAAAGTCACTTTATTACATGGTACTACAGTTTCTCCATATGTGGCATAGGAATAATTAAACTTATCTTCTCCATGGAACGCCATGAGGTCTGCATAGGAAGCTGGAAGCTGAAATTATTTTAAGAGCATTGAGAAGAACATATTGAGGAACAAAGCTTGTACAGTTTTGACTTTAACTATCGCATCTTTTCTAGCTAGTCTGAGCGGGCATGTGGCAGTTGTGTCAGTGACAGGGACCCCAGCCCACATAGCTTTTGAGCACACATACTGTAGTGTAGACATAATCATTGAAATCAGTCAGTGTTACCCTGTCATTTTGCACTTGCTTGTCAGGAATTATGAAAGAGTGTGGTGTGCTGACCCTGGCTGAATGCCAGGTGCCCAGCAAAGCCGTTCTATCACTCCCCTGTCCTCAGCTGGACAGGGGAGAGAAAATATAACAAAGGGCCTGTGGATCGAGATAAGGACAGGAGAGATCACTCACCAATTACCATCACGGGCAAAACAGACTCAGCTTGGGGAAAATAAACTCAATTTATTACCAATCAACCACAGTAGGGTAATGAGAAATAAAACCAAATCTCAAAACACCTTCCCTTCTTCCCGGGCACAGCTTCACTCCCAAATTCTCTACCTACCCTCCCCACCGGCACAGGGGGACGGGGAATGGGGTTTATGGACAGTTCATCACACATTATTTCTGACGCTTCATCCTCTTCAGGGGGAGGACTCCTCACACTCTTCCCCTGCCCCAGCGTGGGGTCTCTCCCATGGGAGACAGTCCTCAACGAACTTCTCCAACGTGGGTCCTTCCCACGGGCTGCAGTTCTTCACAAACTACTCCAGCGTGTGTCCCTTCCATGCCATGCAGTCCTTCAAGCACACACTGCTCCAGCGTGGGTCCCCCACAGGGTCACAAGTCCTGCCAGAAAACCTGCTCCAGCGTGGGCTCCTCTCTCCACAGATCCGCAGGTCCTGCCAGGAGCCTCCTCCAGCGCGGGCTTCCCACGGGGTCACAGCCTCCTTTGGGAACCCACCTGCTCTGGCATGGGGTCCTCCACGGGCTGCAGGTGGATATCTGCTCCACCGTGGAGCTCCCTGGGCTGCAGGGGGACAGCCTGCCTCACCGTGGTCTTCCCCACGGGCTGCAGGGGAATCTCTGCTCCGGTGCCTGGAGCATCTCCTCCCCATCCTTCTTCACTGACCTGGGGGTCTTCAGAGTTGTTTCTCTTACATGTTCTCATTCCTCTCTCTGGCTGCCATTTCCGTGTGTCCCAGCAACTTTTTTTCCTTCTTAAATCTGTTATCCCAGAGGTGCTACCGCTATCACTGATTGGCTCGGCCTTGGCCAGCAGCAGGTCCATCTTGGAGCCAGCTGGTATTGGATCTGTCAAACACAGGGGAAGCTTCCAGCAGCTTCTCACAGAAGCCACCCCTGTAACACACCCCCCCCCGCTACCAAATCTTTGCCACACAAAGCCAATAGAAAGAGCAAATTTTGTCTGTCTTTTGCAGAGGTGTTGGGGGAGTGCTGAATCCTGCGTTACTTGAACTTAGTTCTTCAGAGCTTTTACAATAGACAGAGCTCAGTAAACTGAAGCTCCTAATTCAAATAAATCTTCTTCAGCCTCCTGTAGTAAGAGCTAGACTTAAGTACTAAATTCAACCTTCGACTATTCATATTTGATTGTACTTTAAAATATGCATTTATATTAAGGTCAGAGCATTCCAGAGAGAGATGCTTTGATCTAAACCGATTTTTGGAACATTTGGGAAAACTGGAAGTGTTGTTGGAGCCCAGTAGATGTCAGTATCGCCACACAATAGACTACTGCAGCTCTGCTTGCTAGGCAGGTAGGATTGGGTGTCTTCAGAGTAATGGATGAATTGTCTTGGATCATAGAGATTGGCTATGTTGTATTTTTACATAACTCTAGGAAATAGTTCCGGGAACACTGCTGCAACCCATTTATTCTGATTGTATGATGTAGTTCCTACCATGCAATTTGTATGCAGCAGAAATACTTTAGGGGATAAGAAGACGCATCACAAGCAAACAAAAGGAAGTATTTCTGAATAAGTGGACATTCAGTGACCTAAAAACTATTCGAGGGAACTGATATCAGCAAATAATGCTTTGATTTCTGACTCTCTTCTACGAAGGAGTCTCTCTCTAGAATGTGACAACTATTCTGGCCTTGATACAAACTGAAATTGTGGCATTTTTTATTGCTTGGGGAAATGAAATTTTAGATCTGAAAACACATCTAATAGTAAGATTCATTAAGAGATGGTTCATTAGAAGTACAGAAACCCACAAAAAATGGGAAACCTAGATAAAGAAAAAGCAGAACTTGTAGAAAGTCTAGAAATAGGAAAGAAAAGGTAGAGAAATTCCATTAAAATATTAAAAAGTTGGTGCTGTTAAAATGTAAAAGTTAAGGTAGAACAAAGGGCAAAATTTCATGTTGCAGATATAAAGATGGAGAAGAAAACTTCAGATGATTATTCAACAGTTGCATAGATTTGTTGGTGTATGCAGGAAAACCACAGAATCATAGAACAGCCCAGGCTGGAAGGGACCTTGAAAGATCATCTGGTCCAGCCTTTCGTGGAAAAGGGAGCCTAGATGAGATTACCTAGCACACCCTGTCCAGTTCCATCTTGAAAACCTCAGGTGATGGGGACTCTACCATGTCCCTGGGGAGGTTGTTCCAGTGATTGATTGTTCTCACTGTAAAAAATTTCTTTCTTGTATCAAGATGAAACCTTTCCTAGCGCAACTTGTACCCGTTGTCTTCTCCATGTGGCTCCTTGTGAAGAGACAGCCTCCATCCTCTTTGTAGCCACCCTTTAAGTATTGGAATACTGTGATGAGGTCCCCCCTGAGCCTTCTCCAAGCAGAAGAGACCTAACTCCTTCAGTCTTGCCTCATAGGGCAGGTTCTCCACTCCTCTGATCATCTTCATGACCCTCGTTTTGGACCCTCTCCAGTCTGTCTGCATTTTTTTTTTTAATTGTGGGGACCAGAACTGGACACAGTACTCTAGGTGCAGCTTGACAAGTGCTGAGTAGAGCAGGGTGATCACGTGTCTATCTCTGCTAGTAATGCAGATACAGCCCAGGATCTGATTTGGCTTTGTTGCTGCAGTGGCGCACTGCTGATTCATGTTCAGCAAGGACTCCGCAGGACCCCCAGGTCCCTTTCAGCAAGGCAGCTCCCCAGGCACAGACCCCAGCCAGTACTGGGCTCTTAGGTTATGTCATCCCAGGTGCAGGACTTTGCACATCTCTTTGTTAAATGTCATACTGTGCTTGCTAGCCCATTCTTCCAGCCTGTCCAGGTCTCTCTGTGAGAGGCCTCTGCCTTCTGACATATCCACCTTGCCACCCAGTTTAGTGTTATCAGCAAACTTGGTGAGGGTGCGTGTTATATTATATTAATTATAAAAATTGTATATTGGTTCTGAAGTGTAATTCCCACTATCAGAAATTTCATTAATAGTATCAAGCTTGTTAATAAAAATACTCATGTTTGCTAGACATGGTATATTTACTGGGTAATGCTAGACTGTGAATGATAATTTGACTGTTGAATTTAACATTTTTTCATTATTATTGTATATTTCTCCCAGTTTTTGGAAGGCAGAGGTAAAAAGTACTTGGCCATGTAAGAAGCCTGAAGCATTCTGGTTTGAGCCAGTTGTTAATTTGCTAGTCAGCAACCTAAGAGTCACACAGATCACCCTTCTCCCTGTATCCCTCACACTTCTTCTTCATTAGCAGCTTTTAAATTACGTCTTATTATATAAAGGTTTATTCTAGCTCCAAATTTATAGCTTTGTTTAGTCTCCACCTAGGAACGTTTTCCATGTGCTCATTTGCATATACTCTGCAACTCTCATTCTGAAAGTATTTATATACTCAACTCTTCTACACACGTATAGATATGCATACTTAACTATTTTTTTAAATATAATCAGCCTGAAGGAACATATTTTTAAAAAATAAACAGCCTGGAGGTACATATTTTTGTTCTCAGCACACTAAGCCTAACTGAAAACCTGCGGAAGATACATAGGAAGTCATTGCACTACTTGAAGTTTTTTCTGATTTCTTTCCCACCTTGCCTTACTTGATTGTTATGTGGAGAATAAAAATAAGGAAAGTATCATATTCCTTTGCCGCCTTTATTTAAGAAAAAACCCACACTACATTGGAAAAATCTTGCAACAGAAGAGTTAAGTATTTTTATCACATAGAAACAAATGACGGTACACATATTATACTTTACTATATTTCTGAGTACGTGCTTTCATGTTTAACATTTAATCAGTGTACATGTACTTGAATATAAGACACACTTTTGAAAATCTATACCTATAAACCTATGAAAAAAGACAAATACATCTGTTTAAAATCAGTGCACTTATTTTTGAATATACAAATACCTCTTTCCCTACTTTGAAACTTGTATAGCAAAAATTACAGTAAATTTCTATTTTTTAATTTTATTTTACACATGCTTTTGCATTTTTTCAATCTCCAGTCTTCTCTTTTGTTTTTGCAAAACACACAGAGTTGAACTTACGATAGTACAGACAACTACTACACACAGACCTACTATTGCCACTATTACTGTACTGTTAGCACCACCATTGTCGCCGTCATCATCTAAAGGTGCAAGTGCTTTTGGAGGAATGAACCATGTGGCTTGTGCTATATTAGACACCTCTGAAATCAAGTTGGTATCATCAACAGCACGTATAGCAAAGTAGATTATGGTGTCATTTTCTATTATGAAATTTTCTGGGTTTATTTTAAATGATTCTTCTCTACCAGCCTCCTTAGGTATGAGATTAGAGGAATTCAGAGAAGTAGCACGATCAAAATGATTTCTTAGGTCCAGAAGATTTTTACTACTTTTTATTATATAGTGATCAGCTAGGGAAAAAAGAACACATGTTAACAACAAATTAAAACAGATGTTTTAATATCACTGCTTGTGGTGACAGCATAGGACTTGTAGAGCCATTTTGTAAAAAAAAGTGCTGATGATTCCTGTTTTACTACTGACTATTGCTCAGCATGGAGGGTTGGCAAGTTTGCTTTTAAACCTTACTTTACAGCGTCAAAGGTCTATTGTTGCTCAGTCTGGGAACTCCTTCTTTTCAATAAAAGTTGAAATTGAATCTGCCTTAAAAATACTGTTTCACCAACAGTCTTAGCTTTGTGCAGACCTGTACAAAATGTAGCTGAATGAGAAACTGTGCTGTCCCAATACAAACATAAGGTGAAATGGCAATTAAAATATATGTGTAGATAGCAGGGGCGGGCCTTGCATCTGAGCTGTTTTCTCTCTCTCAACATGAGGTTTTGATAGCAAAAACTGTGAAAGACACAAAATGATTCTCCCATTTGTAATCAAAGAACTGGTACTTACATTGCTATAAATGTGTTTGATTAATTTTGGGGGGTTCTGCTGTTTCTCTTTCAAGTTTGTAGCTTTTCAAGACTTTCCCCTCTTCCCCCCAACTTCTTACGAGTATCTTTTCCTCTTTAGATAGTAGAGAGATGTGCATGATATGCCCAGCTCAAAACCAGTGCAGGGCCTGCTATCTTAAACTATAATGCAATAACTGACCACTTTAGCTGTAAAAGTTTTTAGACATATAGTTGCTAAATAGCAATAAAAGAAGTTGAGAATTTTTTTAATTTGAGGTTTCTTTCCTTGTGTTGCTGGTTATTAAAAATTTTAGATAAATGTAAGATTTTAATCTGAAACTGTAGTCTGTGTAACTGTAGAATGTATTTTTTAACATACAGTCTCTGGTTTATGCAAGGAAATGCTTGTACACTTCATCTGGAATTAGGTTTCGTTTTTCCTGTACAACAACTTTAAAGTGAGTATTTTGGATAGAGTGTTACTGCATCTCTGTAGTCCACTTACATTTTTGTAAATAGACTAAAGCTTTGTATTGTCCATGTTGACTGATTTTCTTTTATTCTTTTTAATTATGCACAGACATGGAGTAAGACTTGTTGCTAAAGTCTCTAGTGGTTGTACTATAATTTTATTTATTTGATTTGTTTATACTATTCCTTGATTTACTTGGTTTGGTTTTTTTTAACATGAAAAATTAAGAACTAAACCAGGTATCATGCAACAGGGTAACCTTCTGTTTGGTTACGTTTTCAGGTAGGAAAGATGTAGCCCTCATTCCTGAGTGGTGGTCCTCAGGGTATGTCCTTTCAGATAAAAATAGCAACTTAATCTCACAAAAATGTAGCGTCTGACTCACCTTTTCCATTGTCAAAGTCCCCTCCTGGAGCTGTCCAAGACAAGACTATTGTTTTGTTTTCTATACGAGCATGAAGGTCTGTAACTTTACAGGGTGGATAAATAGGAGCAGAATCTCCTGCTGTATTAACTACAAGAGAACTTGTTGAAATTCTGCTGAAACTTCCCAGCTTGACTTGGATTTCTTTATCAGCAAATTTAGGTCTTGGTGCATTCATATGAATTTTACCTGTTTAAAACATTTTTCAACTTTTCATCATGACAGAACTCAGAATTGCATTTTCTTTTAATTTTTATATCTATTATCTATTCTCATCCTGTAATTTTTGTTTAGCTTATTCAAATTTAGTGGAAAGTTAGAGAAATAAAGACAGAAAATAAGGTGATCTCAGAATTCTCAGAAAAAAAGCCCAAAAAGCAGACAAAGTCTGAAATGTGTAAAAATTGGAAATTACGCAACCAGTAAAGCAGTTTGCAGATGTTGGTGAGCCATGGCTGCATTAAGGTAGTTCTATCCATCTCTTCACCCATACTGCAAGCCCTAAGAGAGTCTCAGTTATATAGGCCATACTTTGTGAGTATTTTAGACAATTTTTATGCTGGGTTTTCTAAATTTCACAGTGTATAAGTGGGAAAATATTAAATTGCAACAACTAATACATTTTTCAGCATTAAGATGAAAAAGTACTAAAAAATCAAGAATCTCAAAAGCTAAGTTTTCTAGCAGCATTGGTTTGTATACTAATGTCTCAGGCTGAATTTATTTACCATAAATCCCCATTTTAAAGTCTCAAGAAGAATTATAGATTTGAAATTCCTGTTGTGAGATGCTGAAATACAGATTCTGAGCAATATTTATCCTTCTCATGGCTGTAAGAGAAAATAATTTTTAGATTAAAGACAAGATTTTATGCTATTCCCATACATAGGAAACAGTAGTTAGAGCTGGTTTGTTTTGTTTGGGCTTTTTGTAGTGAAAATGATAGATGGAACACATTTTATGATCAAATGCAATTTTTGTGAATCTAAATGATCCCATTTGCTAAACCTTTACATCCCCCTACATACATATCATGCAAAGAATTATCTGTTTCATAAACGCTCTTTACCATTTACTCTGTAGCCTGGTATATACACGGCTCGATTTTGCTTGAGGCTAAGTCTGGTAGTTATATTTCTCCCATGGGCATTCACTTTTAGTCTGTATCTTCCAGTGCCTTGTAAAGAAGTAAAGTACCTTGAGTAGATTCCATCATCCTTCATCGTGTCAGCGCCTTGGTATAGAATTATTGAGAATTAATATCTCAAATAAGATACCTGCTGGTAAACACGGTTATTTTTGCTATTCATACATAAACATAAAACGTGAACATTACTATGCAGAAAACCTGACAGTGTTTTTGTAATGTGGACATCTTTAAAAATAGGAGTGGTCCTGCTATGACAACCTGCATTTCGTATGTATTGTGTTAAAAAGAACCATTTTCCATTAACACCTTTAACTAGGTAAATCTCTTGATACTATATGGAACCACCAAGTTAATACTTATTGACCATCTACTACATAAAGCACCTTTAAATTAGAAAAATGTCATAATTTAACCTTTGGCCAGGAATTCATCAAAACAGGATTCCTTCTCTTTAAGTGAACTTGTGCAGTTGCACCTGACTGGCTGCAGTGGATGATCTGTTGGTGGCATCCAAGCTAACTATTTTAAAGCCTGGCAGCAATGTAAAAATAACCTCTTGGGTTCAGAAAAGAGAACATGTTTAAGAAACACAGGGTAACACATTGAAATCTTACTATGTTTTTAAGTACAGCAATGTGAAAGCAAGTACAGAATGAGGAGGCACTGCTGGCTACTACTGAACTTATAAAGCTACAGGTCTACAGCAGTGGTGAGAGGAAAGGAAGAGGAGAGATGAAAAGAGATCGATGGATGTTGAATGCCAGGAATGTCTGGCTGTTGCTTTAAGAAAGAGTATTCTTGAAAAGAAGAATAATGCACTTATTTAGCAAACAAAAGAGAAAAAGCTAACTTTTGGAGAGCTAATGTTAAGACTGTGGTCCAGCTTCATTGAATATGAGATGGACTAATAAAACAGCTTGTTTTCTTTTTACTTCCCTGTTGAGGGCAGATGATTACATGAAGTACACTTTCAGAAAGTAGATATGAGCAATGTACCCTCTACTATGACAGTTCTTCTGCTTTCACCCTCAATGACAGCACAGGAAAGAAAGCAGAAAAATTTTTCAGGTAAAGGCCCATGTCTTTGTTTTCCTCACCAAGAAAAAGCTTTGTAGCTTACTTCCATCCTAAAGCAGTAGGGTTCTATGTCTCCCTTTTTATTTTTTTCTTGATTTAGGGCATAGCCATGACTCAGTCCTTAGTGATAAATCTGAGGGGAGCATGCAGACTTGGATTCCAAAATGCATAAATGTAAAGGTTTTTACCATGTATATGGAATCTTACCTGTGCCATTATCAAGAAGTTCAAGTGTTACTGCTCCAGCACCATCCTTCTCTATGGTGGCTATCACAGTTGCACCAAGAACAGGCAAAAACCCTTGGCTAACCTCTGCATAAACAACAACTGGATTAAATGCTTTATTTGCCCTGTTCATGTGAGCTGCAATTCTCACAGGAGGAACATCAGAATATGCTGGTCGAGAGGTAGCTGTTACTGATATAGTTTGAGTTGCTGTATGAACATTTTTAATACAAAACTCCCAATCACCCACCTGCAAATAAAATACAAAAATATAAAAAACTAGTGAAAAAGCTTCATGTTCTAACAGGGCCATTAACTCCCTTATATAACAAAAACTTAACTAAAGAAAAGCTGTATGCTAGTCTATAGGAAATGTTAATTCAGAAAATAAAAGAAAATGTTCAGTCTTTACCTCTGCAGTGCCACTTATACTGAGTCTGGCTGTGTTTGGGTTTGAATTACTGGTTGTAAAGTCTGAACTTCCATATTCTTTTCCTTTGGGGTCCCTCAGGAAAAAAAATGGCCGAGATAGACTCCATGCAATATGGAAGAAAGTGTCATTTCCCACAGTTTTGTCCACAGGCACAGTAGTATTCATCCATCCAGAATGCTGAACAACTAGGTCTTTGCTTTCAAGCTGTTGTTAGAGAAATAAAATTTATCTTACTGCTATTTAGTAAAGAAGCATTTAATGTATTTTCAGAGTGATTCCTCATCCATTGCACAATATTGTATCTATTCAATGCTGACTTAAAATGGATTAGTCTTGGAGCAGAGAATTGAAAAGCATTTATGCCTTTTGGAAACTAGCATGAAAAAAGGATCTCTGCTTACTTATTTATAACTTAGAGTTATATAGAGAAGATGGCAGGCTTTCTAGTTCTGCTGTCTCTAGCTACAGGAAAATTAAGAGCCATTTGGCATAACTGTTGAATGAAGAAAACTAATAGAATACCAGATTCACTTTATGAAATGGCTGCTTGCATAATAACATTGATTTTAAGTATGAAATTATGGCAAACAGAATAAGTTACAGTAAGTGGAAGTCCTTCATTTCTGTATCTAAACTATTTATCTACCTATCTAACCCATTGTGCCAGTAAGCTGTATTTCCACTGCAGTTTGTCTGTCTCAAAATCCTGGAAGAAAGAAAATGTCTCATGTATGACTGTAAGGCTTATGAGTATTGAGAGAGACAGAAATAACAACAGAACAGAGGAGAATATATAGAAGAGAGACATAAACAATATTTCCTTTATTCAAATTAAAATAATTTTGTGTAATTTTCTCACTCATATTATGAACAATAAAGTCTGCAGTTAGAAAATAGCCTGCACAGGTGGGACACAAGAGTCAATTAAAGGCAATATAACAACTCAAAAAATCCTAGACTGCTTTTCAAATCTACATTGACTGATGCTTATAATCTAGCTATTTTTGTGAGTGGTATATTTTGGATAAAACGTAGGACTGGATCTGTGTTAAAATATTATCATTCATATCATTTATCAGCAATCCTGGTCAACGGGGGAGGTCCCAGACAACTGGAGGCTTGCCAATGTGATGCCCATTTACAAGAAGGGTCAGAGGGAGGATCCAGGGAACTACAGGCCTGTCAGCCTGACCTCGGTACCAGGGAAGGTTATGGAACGATTTGTCTTGAGTGCGCTCACATGGCACGTGCAGGACAACAAGACGATCAGGCCCAGCCAGCATGGGTTCATGAAAGGCAGGTCCTGCTTGACCAACCTGATCTCCTTCTATGACCAGGTGACCCGCCTAGTGGATGAGGGAAAGTCTGTGGATGTTGTCTACCTGGACTTCAGCAAGGCCTTTGACACTGTCTCTCATGGCATACTCCTTGAGAAGCTGGTGGCTCATGGCTTAGACAAGTGTACTCTTCACTGGGTAAAAAACTGGCTGGATGGACGAGCCCAGAGGGTTGTGGTGAATGGAGTTAAATCCAGTTGGCAGTGGATCACAAGTGGTGTTCCCCAGGGCTCAGTTTTGGGGCCAGTTCTCTTTAATATCTTTATCAATGATCTGGACGAGGGGATCGAGTGCACCCTCAGCAAGTTTGCAGATGACACCAAGTTGGGAGGGAGGGTTGATCTTCTTGAGGGTAGGGAGGCTCTACAGAGGGATCTGGACAGGCTGGATCGATGGGCTGAGGCCAATCGTACGAAGTTCAACAAGGCCAAGTGCCGGGTCCTGCACTTGGGTCACAACAATCCCATACAGCGCTACAGGCGTGGGGAAGAGTGGCTGGAAAGCTGCCCGGCAGAGAAAGACCTGGGGGTGCTGGTTGACAGCCGGCTGGATATGAGCCAGCAGTGTGCCCAGGTGGCCAAGAAGGCCAACGGCATCCTGGCCTGTATTAGAAATAGCGTGGCCAGCAGGAGCAGGGAGGTGATTGTTCCCCTGTACTGGGCACTGGTGAGGCCGCACCTCGAGTACTGTGTTCAGTTTTGGGCCCCTCACTACAGGAAAGACATTGAGTTGCTGGTGTGTGTTCAGAAAAGGGCAACCAAGTTGGTGAGGGGCCTGGAGCACAAGTCCTGTAAGGAGCGGCTGAGGGAACTGGGGTTGTTTAGTCTGGAGAAGAGGAGGCTGAAGGGAGACCTTATTGCTCTCTACAACTACCTGAAAGGGGGTTGTGGTGAGGTGGGTGCTGGTCTCTTCTGTCAGGTGGCTGGAGATAGGACAAGAGGAAATGGCCTCAAGTTGTGGCAAGGGAGGTTTAGGTTAGATATTAGGAAAAATTTATTTACTGAGAGGGTTGTCAGACATTGGAACAGGCTGCCCAGGGAAGTGGCTGAGTCACCATCCCTGGAGGTATTCAAAAAGTCCATAGACAAGGCACTTCAGGACATGGTTTAGTGGGCATGGTTGATTGTTGGACTCCATGATCTTAAAGGTCTTTTCCAACCTAAATGATTCTATGATTCTATGATTAACAGTGAGGAATGAGTTGCTAAATTCTAATTAACAATTGGCCTAGATTATAAGTCTAAAAGTTTATACATTAAAATGGTACATATGGCTTAGGAGAGAAGCTGTATTTTAAATTGTATCTTTGTTACTTAAGTTAGACTGTTAAAATGCTCTAAAAGATAATATTTCATGTAAGAGTGAACTAAATATCCTGGGGAATTTCTGCTTGCTTTTTTCTCTCAAAGTCTCTTGGACTTTGACAATTATGAGAAATAATTTTCTTGAGTTTGTGAAATCAAGAATTATATACATTATGTAAATTATATACTTATTTCATTGCAGTGAAATGTAGGAGATCACTAAAAAGTGTGCTTGTTCTTATTTCCACATTGAGCCACTGACAATTATGATTATTAATGTCTAATTTCATTCAGTTACTGATCAACTAAAAGCATAGGAGGAAAAAGAAGTGCTGAAATTGACCTGAATAGATTGTTCACAAATATCTCCGCTTCTTGATGTAATTGCACTGAATGTCTCAATTAATTTACTGGGGACGGCTCCATCTACAGCATAAAGATTTAAACCTCCTGTAAGACAAGAGCAAAAGAATTAGAAATACTATTTTTTACTCTAAAATTGCTAAATTTTATGTGACTTCTGGTACTGGTTCTACTGAGGCAGCCAATTTGTTACAAAATCAAAAAAAAAATGTATCTTTTTATTACTCTGTTAAAGCATGTGTCATAGTAAATTCTGGCTTGTGTGATCAACTCATTTAATCTCTCATTAGCAAAGTTTGCAAAAAAATCACTCCCTGCAGCATATCAAGTACAGCCTTTTTAGACTTCTCTTAGTACTTTTGGAGTCACATTATCCCTTCAGTGAAATTCTGCTCTGAAAATACCTCTGTAGAAAAGACACAGTGGCATTCCATGGCTTGTGACTCTTAAAATCCAGACCATCTTTATTTCCAAGTGTGAAGTTTAGATCTCTCTTCATGCATACCGAGTTCAAGCAGCTCTAGTCCATTGGAGGTTCTCATACTCAGTGCACATCTATTAATGAATTCATTGTGAATATGGCTTCACACTTCTCTACTGAAGCATCTGCACTTCACACATTTGTTGCAAGTCTCTCTCAAACTAGGATCATGCATGCCGGACATAAACTGAGCCATCACTGTGTTCCTAATGTACAGGTCACTGGAATCCCAGAGTGGGGGAGAGACTGCCGCGCAGCACTGAGCCCTGTGGAGCCTAGTCGGGGTGTGCAGAGGCTGCACACAGCCCTTCCCTACCACCTGACACCTCTCACCCCCATCTCTCGCACACAGACTGACGTAAGGTGTGCAGGTTACATCGGGTGTATGGGTCTGTCTCATCAGAGATCACATGGAGTCATATGAGCTGGAGGAGGTGTTAGCTCAGAGATCTATTCAGTATCTTTGGAAAATTGATTTTTGTTTCTAAGCAGGAAGGCCTGCTGGTTGATGACTATGTGCTAAAGGACTATCTGGGTTCTTTCTGGCTCACAAATCATTCTTAATAAATACTCCAGAAGTGGAGCTTAAACAACAAATTCTGTCTTAAAATACAGGCCGGAATAGAATTGAACTCTGGACTCTCCCATAGTCATGTTGATCTAATGATGTTGAAGAGTGTACAAGGGCATTCCAAGTTATTTAAATTGCTAAAACAAGTGGATTGTAGTCGGAAAATGCACAGCATGTGCACCTCTTATTAGAATATTTATTCACCATTTTTATTTGGAGTCAGCTTGCTTTCTAGATCTACACAAGAATTTTTTGTTCTTCCATGGCATTTGCAGGTGCCTTAGCATGAAGCAACACCACTATGGATAGTTTTTAAATGATTGATTTCAAACTGATTATGTAGCTCCAGCTCAGCTGACAGCTATGCTTGCTAATGACAAGGGTAGTCACCGTGTTTACAATTTCCTAGCCAGTGCACTTCAGCCGCAACAGTTGGAGAAAATTATTATTCTTTATGTAATAAAAAATGCTTATAAGTAAAAGCATATAGAAAGTTCTAGGCATTGCATGTAATGCCAGAAATAAAATTCTAGACATTTCTTTTTATGTTATATGACAATATCATAATTAAATCTCCTTTAGTAATAGGGTATTGTCATGTTATTGCATTTTTTAAATCAAGACAGCTCTTAAAGCATATCTATGGATCTAAAGAGTTCTGCTTGTTTGCATTAAAAAAGCCTGTCATGAAAACCAAATTTCTTTAAAATTAAATTTGTTTTACATTTCTTAAATTTCTTTTTTCCAGACCGATTAATTGCCATGCTTTTACATTTTCATACTTGAACATGCATGCCAGACAAAGAGTGCATTTAGAATATTTACCTGTTAGTTTTGAAAATCTTTCTAATTCTTTGGATGCCAATGGCCCCAATGCAATGGTGTGAATTGTTGCTGCACTTTGTTTCACCACATCAAGGCAAGTTGCTATACGTGGGTCCTCTCCATCTGTCAGTAACACAATTTCTGAACCACATGTAGTAGTCATTTTTTCTGCAATTAACTGCATCAAGAAAAGAATTCATGATATAAGCAGCAGAATAATTTTTAAATACTAGTTTATCGCAGAGCACAGTCAATGTATGCATTTAGAGCTGTTAACTTCAAATATAAGACACATTTATTCTTTAATAAGTGCTTAAATTTTTATGTAACACTATTACAGTATTAATTATTGCAGTTGATATTGCAAGATATAATTGCTTAGATTTAGTTAAGTGTTCAATTATAAACAATGAATATTTAATATATGTTTTCCTAGGGAAGGAACCTGTCCCAAATTGAAGATGTCAGAAGCATTCTGCCTGTACATGCTTTGCTGGTTCAGGGACTGGATGTTTAAGGGCATCATATTGAAAACTTATGTCCACTGTCTGGAACTACTCTTTATTCTCCATCAAAATTTCAGGAGTAGAGAAGGACAGACTTCCGTCTAAGGGTGGACTCTGAGGTAACTGAAGGTGAGGCAGAAAGGCATAGGGGGCAACCAAGGGGGAGGCCTCTATCTGTGTCTGGTTGCCAGTCTTCTTCCTGATGTCCCCCTGTCCTGAGCCGCCTCTCTGCCCTGGACCGTCAGCTATCTCAGTAGTCTCATCCTTCTCTGTACAATTTCTGTCTTTCTCTTTCTTCCTTTTTCCTACACGTTGCTCCTGATTTTCAGTTTTGCATCTGAATTAGGTGACATCTTCTGGGACTTTAGACTGTCAGCCTAAGGAAGTAAACCAGACAAATAAATAATAATATATATCCATCACGGTTTCCCAATCTCATGATTTGTATGTGGTTTCACAATTTTAGGGGCTTGACTCATGACTAATGAACTGTGGGAATTATTCTAAAATTTAGATCATTCTTTTAGTTCATTTTGGAATTTGATCTTATTTTTCAATATCCTTTTTGAAGCATGGACATCACATCTGACCTGTTTTCTGGTAATACTCCTTCTAATGCCATATAATGGTAATGCCAAATAGTTTCTATACCAAATTTTCTCCTGATAGATTCAAGAATCATGTTATCTTTCTTAACTCTACCATTGTGTATAAATTCACGTTCAGGTATGTTTCTCGCTTCTTCCTCATTTTCCATACATTCCAGGAGATATTTCCACATTGTACTTTACCTTAAATCCTTTACGTATGCCTGCACAGATATTGGTTTGTCCACTAGCAATTGTAGGCAAACATTGAACAAGTTTTTGGCGTGCTGTGTCATTGGTTATTTGTTGCAAAGGAGCTTTTTCAGATGCATCAGAGTCAAATGTGACAATTCCAACCCAGGAACCAATTTCAATAATATGGAGCAGAAATACCTCTGCAGCACTACGGAGATGTCTGAGGCGGTCATGCTGTACGTGAAAAAAACCAACATCCTTAGAAGCAATCTCTTCTGAAGAGCTATGACTATGAACAAAATATAGGAATTTTTGATGTTGATCAGATTGTAATTAAGAATTAAAAACTAGCTGCCATAAGGTAACTCGTGTGTATGCTCAGTTCTAGAAGAGAGGAGATGTAAACCATGTTCTGGTATTGTGAAAGTGCAGCAAACTGCAGCTTCCAGGAAAGATGTCACCAGGCAAAGTCCATCTTCTGATGTTATGACTTTACTGCTAATCAAGATTTTTGTCACTTTTTTTTTTTTGATAGTGTGATGGCAATGCAAAAGGACAACACCTATGAAGCCTGAGGAGTAAGTTAGTCTAGAGACTAAATATTTTGAAAATACACATAATATTAAAGTATGGCTATTTTAAATGCAAATATTTGAAGGGATTACTGAAAAAAAAAGTTATATTTGAAAACGTTTATCTCTGGAGCTAGCTATTCTTACAATATTTATTTCATAATTATCTTAATTTTGGGGTTTGTTATTACATTATTATTTACTAATTGATTTAATAAAATGTATGATTGGGAGACATCTGTATTACAAAAATAATATAATTTATTACAATTGCAGATCTTTGCTTAAGATCAGTCTCAAGAACAGCTCTGGACTAGAATGGCATATCTGGAAATAGATCTGTTGATGGAGCCCTATGGGAGAATCCCCCAATTATTGTATGTATGCCATAACTACAGAGTTGGAGCATATACTGCTTTATGCTTCTTCATGTATATTTTGGTTTAAGGTATGACTGTCAAATATTTAAGAGTATTTCTCAACATGTTTGAGCCTTTTGAATTACTTTCTTTAGATGAATAGTCTTGGTTTTAGCCTTGAATTCCTGTGGGAATTGAAACACTGAACTTGGGGTATTTTCAATAAGAGAGCAATGGCCATTGGCTCACTACTGAACTGTGGAAGAGGTAAGTTACGGATAAGAAAATGCAGTATGTTGTCAAAAGAATATATAGGCTGATTTTTAAAAGCTGTTAGAGTATGCAAAGATGTTTGAAGTCTATTAATAAATCATGAGATAGCTGCCTTAACGTACCCAGATAATTTTGTCATCTTTCTACTGATGATCAGATTGCTTACAGCTTTATAAAAGTATTAGGATATTTATGCAAATAAGCACATATTCAGTGCTTGCATCCATAAACAAGCTTAGTATCTCATGCCACAAGGAGCTGTGAAAGAATAAACCTGTGCAAAGTTTTATGGAAAAAAAAAAGGAAAAATAACCTCAGCCTTGTTAAAATGACATAACATTATGCCAGCTCACATTCTTGATTCCAAAGAGCAATATTGTAATGAGGAAAGAACATCTAATTTATTGACGTATTGTGACCTACATATTTACTTTAAATTTTAGAATCATTCATAAGAAAAATAAAATGTGAAACTCCATCTATGATACATTTTCTGCTTGGAAGAAATACAAAGGCATTGTCATTCTAGGTCTGGAACAAAGGAAGGAAAGGATATAAAATTGAGATTTTACAAGAAAAAAAAGACCAAGTCTGGGCTACAACTGTCAGTATTTTAAGTGGTATCTTGTAGGAATTCCTAAATAAAATTACCAAGGAGAATAATAGTAGTCCTTTTTTTTCCTAAAATAATCAAGTTAATTACAGAATTGACTGATTTTTTTTTTTTTTTTGTAACTTTTTCTGTTTCTTAAAATTTTTGCCAAAAATTGCTTATAAAATGCATATTCTTACCATTGACATGCTCCCGGAAACATCAAGCACTAAGGCGACTGCTCTGGTTTGGGTCTGCAGTAGTGTGAAGGTAGTCTCAGAGGGGGGTGCAGAAGCATTTATAACAACCGAGTTGCGAAAGTCATCAGATTCCATAATTACTTCCCACGTGCTTTTGTGGTCGCATATCTTATTCTGCATATTTGGAGCCTCACTATTGTGAGTGTTTTTGTCACAAAATTCAACCACCTAAAAGGTCAGATTGAAGCTGATAATAATTCTGAACCGAACAGTATGAACATAAGAAAATATCTCAGAAAATATGTGGTGGGGGACAGGACAAATGGAGGTGTTCTCCTAGAACATTAGTGTGTTATTGGTACTGTTTTGGTCAAAAATCTAAACCATAGCACCATACGATCTGTTATGAAGAATATTAACTGTATCCTAGCCAGGCCCAGTACACCCACAAAGTTCTTGGTAAAAGCTTGCCCAAAGAAATAAGGTCAGTAACTGGAGGACTTGTGATCCTGTACCACAGAGATCTAGCCTGCAAGGAGACTGACTGTCCTGCTAACCCCTGTCCCAGCACCCTCTCCCAGACACTGGAACAGTACAGATCTGGCGTAAGGAGGCCTGCCTGGTTGTCCTGGCTGCTTTCAAGAGAGGTGGGCTGCTGCTTCTGTGTTAAGGATATATAGACAGACCAGACTGTTCTGCAGTGGAGTGTAATAGAGCTAACCAGGTAACGCAGTTTAGGTGCCAGTTTACATAAGGAGTGATCAAAAACCACAGTTGTCTTATGGACAAGGCATCTGGCAAGAATGCTTCATTTTCATGCCTGTTGACCTGATTCTCCAAACATGGAGCAAGAAGGATGCTGACACTGCAGTACATCTCACCCTTATTGACAGGAAACAGCTGTCAAATCATTTGTAGTAGCTCCTTTGTCTTCTCTTTTGAACAGATTTTGATAGAACCGATAGCATCATCCATATTCTTTTAAATAGAAATTAATTAAACACCTGACTGATCATTCTCCCCAGCAGAAATAACTGACTAGACCCCAAATGTTACTAAACTCTCAGTCCAGAAAGGTATAGTAATACTTACAGAAGGTAATTGCAAATACATAACAGAAAATGACATATTTTGTTGTATATCTGGAATAAATGTACATCCTTTTTCAAATAGCTGACCATCATATCTACAGATTCTTGGCTCACACTTGTCTCCGCTGCAGTCTTGGAAAACAGGTATACCAGTCACACCAGCTGGACAGCTAAGGAAAGAGGAGATAGGCAGGGCTGGTAAAGAACCCACATATAGTCTGTAACTGGTTATTTATTTGAATTTTGGCTGCCCAAAGCCAAATTGCTGCTGACACAGCACTGTACTAGACACTGCACAAGTACATAGGTAGGCTGTTTCAGTGCCTGGCATGGTCCTCAATCTAATGTAGAAATAGTTAAAATCATAAAATACTTGCGGTCTTTTGTGATCTTCCTTGTCATAATTATAGGCTATGCAGGAAAGACATCCTGCTAGTAGTTGCAATACAAAAAAGTGTATTGGTATGCCTGAGCTAGGAAAAAAGGTGAGCCTGAACTAATTCTCTACATCCATTCAGTTATTGTCCCTGTTTGTAGAAACTGTTTAAAACCACAGTGGTTTCAGTAGGCAATTTCAGTGTTGTTGATAACTGCTCTTTAATAAAATGATGTTAAATAAATAAGTACGAAACAAATGGTGGCTGAAGTCTGCAGTTGCACACAGAGCACAAGATTATCCAGCCTGAACTCCTGAACCTCTTACAAAACAGCACCAGACAGCTGTGGTTTTCTGGGCTGCAGAGCAGGCAACAGAGGTTGCTGACTAAGCATCTTTTAATCATATGAACAGGTCATGGACACTCTACAAAGTACAAACTCAGCACAGACAAGGAGAATATTGAAAATGTTATTGAAATGTTTAAACCTGTGTAATGTAAAAGGAGAAATATGAAAAAAATAGTACCTTGTTGCTTCAACACTTGCTTCTTCAGAATTTCTAGACACATAAAAAGGCATGTCACTACTATATTCATCAAACACCCCCCACCGAAAGTGAGCCCATTCGTGGACAAAAACTCGACCTGTTGAAAAAGAATAGCACACGCGCATTCTAAATACAACTGTTTAAAAGCTACTCAGTGTTTTACTTAGACATTTTAACAATTTAAAATAATTCTTATCTGAGGTAATACAGGAAGATTGTGAAATATTTAAGCAATTGGGATAGTAATTTTTCCTTGAGGTAAAACTAGGAAGGCATCAGTTTAGCAACCAGGACCAGAATTTTTATTCATATTTGACTCTCAGAAATGCAGCAACTGTTCTAGAGGCTTTCTTCCAAGTTGGCAAAAATCTCCTAAGGAAATCTGTGAGGTTTCTGTCCCATAGAGCAGCAAACCTTACATTTTTTGATACAGTGTAGTACACAAACACTGGATAGTTTATTTCATTAAGTGGTCATAAAATGAAAGCTACTGCTAATGGCAGTAGTTAAGTGCAGAGAAATAACCATTTAAGGTTTTCAAAGGGATGAAAACCTGCTGGATCTAGTGTTTGAATATTTAACTTCAGAAATTTCACAGGTAATTACTATTTCTGAAAAATAAGTCTCTCGGAAGTTTTTTTCATTTTAGCAAGCAAATTAAAGTACCTAAATTCATTAATCACTTTAAAAAATCTTGGCCAGTTTGTACGAACAATAAAACAGACAATTAAATTAAATAGTAGTATTACCTTTTTCTCCATAAACATTAGTCAAATTGTCATTTAACAGGAAGTTAGGTGTGAAATGGATGTACTGTCCTTTCTCCTTACATCCTCTATAATGTAAGGTATAAGGATCATCTACATGTGTCATATAAGGGTCTGCTATGATGACATCTGCCTGAAAAAGTAAGACCAAAGTTATACATGACATGAGTGTAGAGAAAAGTTAGGTGTTTCTTCTTGAATAAATTCAGTCCTGCAATTTTTTTTATGCTATGAACACTCTCAACATTTTTGAGTAAGAACTTCCAGGATTAGTCCTAGATTTTGCTGTGATTCATAATGTAGCCTTATCAGTCTAGCTTTTCCTTGTTGTTCTAATCAGAAAGAGTTCTCTAAATCATACCTTATCATATGATTCTGTTTTTAATCTTGAATAGTTCGTGTTATTCTTCCACGTTTTAGGAATTATAATTTTTACAGACTTGAAGAAAAATCGATGTTTTGTCATTTCAAACAAGTAATTAGAAGCATTTTTAATCATGTTCTAGGGAATGAAATAAAATAAAATATTAATATCAATGTTAATATTAAAAATTTGACTGTATGTGCAATTAATAATTTAGCCTTATCAAGACACAGCAGTACAATAAAGTAGAACTAAGTACATAATACAAAACTAGAAAGTATTACAATCTTTGCTAAGAAAAGAATAAACAAAGCAGCCAGGGACTAAGCTGTAATTCTTGGAATCTCTCACCCATTCTATAATCCTGCTTTTAATCAGAGATTGTGGTAAAATTCATGCTCTAGCCTTCCTTTGAGATGAAAACTACTAAATACAAGGATTTTACCCTTAAATTAATACTGGCCTGACAGCAAGTGTGGGCAAGTTTGAACATTGCACCTGCTTTTCATTTATCTGATTAATGTCATAATTTTTCTGTCAAATTTGCTGTTTCACATCTCTTCTTATTTGTATTATAGCTACTATACACTGCCATTACTTTCCTTTCCTCTTTCTCTTTTACCACCTCTCTTGGAGTAGAGACATCAGAAAAAGCATTCCCTTTGTTTATTTTTCTCTCCAATAACAACTAAGTGTTTAGTGGAAAAACAACAAACAGGAAGGAGGGGACTAAAATTTGTCCCACAGGCTTTTCATAAGCTAAGAAACAAGCTGTGACAGAGGCTTTGGAATCAAATGTCCACGTTACATGTACATAAAATTCAGCTAAAGGAGATTTCTTGAAGAGGTTCAGTTTGCCAGGACTGAGAGTGATAGTGAGTGCTAACCCATGAGAAGCTGAGCAGTAATGGGACATGCCACTTCAGCTGTTCCTGTGCGACCCCTTGCCTGCTCTGCAGATAGAACAGAGCAGTTTTAACTGGTTCAAGGGAACTGAAGGAATGGTGTAAGAGCAAGTTCTCATAAGGTCAGCTATAATGTGAATTTAATATGTGGTAGGTATCTCACAGTAACAGTAACCATCACTCATACACTTCTACCCTAAAAAACATGCAGTGCTTTGTCCTTAATGAAAATGGAGTGATCTAAACTCTAGTTATTGTTAAAAAAGGGGACAGTCAGTGACTGATGGTAAAAAATAAGCTATCAGATCCACTTTTACTTCATGTAAGCCTCTTCTCACAAGATGAAAGAAATCTGGAAATGTTAAAAATGTCATGGTATCCTTTGTACTTGATCTTAGAGATTACATGGGACTGAGATAACCCTACATCAAGGTCTAGTAGGCACTAGACATACTGCAGAACCTGGGCATTTGTCAGAAGTGTCCCATTCAGCAGGTTTTCTCTAAAATGATTTGACTTTGTAGAAAACAATTTCTTTACTTTGAGACCTGGCCAGCATCCTATTCTAGGGCGATTTATCCATTGAGGCATCTACTTGGATTGGAATAAAAGTTAAGGCCAGAAATGCCACTAAACCTAATTTTTTTTTTTTTCATTTACAATTTTTAAAGGAACATTATGCGACGTACTAGCTAATGACAAACAGTAGTATAATCAATGGCTATTAAACAAGCATTCATGGGATACTCTTTCAGGTAAACATAATTTGGAAAGCTACTTAAAGGAATTTCAGTCTGCCTCCCAACAGAGATATTACAGCATTGTCTGAGGGAATTAGTGCTCTTAGTAGTGACAACAGATGGCAAGACAAATTAGAAGTTACTAGTTTAGTAACCATGGGATTAATCCATAATTAATTCAAAACAACAAGAAAAAAAACTATTGGCAAGAATGGGAGCTAGACCTTATTTGTGCTACTTTCCAAGCAGAAAAGTCAAGTCACAACTGCTGAGAAACAATACATGTAAATGCAAATGTTCTTACCATCGTGTTCAGGATGATGTTGGCATCTTCTGGCACCTGGGGATTAATTGCAACAACCAAATCCTCATAGCCGTTCTTATTTAGCCATACCATAGAACTTTTTGCCACATGCAGGAGCTGAAAAGACAGCAAAAATATCAAACTCTTAAACACCTCCATTACTTGTTCCTGTCTGCGAGGTTCTTGGTTAGAAAATGATAGCTTATCAGTCTTATTTATATGACTGCCTGTAGGGTGGGAGAAGACTTTGTTATGGTAACCCAGGATAGTTTGCCTCCCCCATCTGAGTATGTAGAGTCCCAAGCACATCTTATCTTCTTGTTACAGCAACCTGGGATAGTTTGCTTCTTCCTGTCCAAGTATGTAGAGTGCCCAAGCGCATCTTATCTCATTGTCATAGTAACCTGGGGTCATTCGCTTCCCCCTCATTGCGTGGCCGCCAGCATGACAGCCAGCTACGGATCTTGGCATTCGGACAACACAACCTGCATTACATCAGCGAGTTCACTAATGAGCCAAACAGGACATTGCATATGTATGATATGTTAATCAGCGTGAGTTTTATTATCCACCCCTGTGGTGCTTTCCCTTGAGCTTCACTCCCAAGCAGGGCTCCGCTGCATTGGGTCCCCATTTTGATTAGCATCAGTGCCTTGGGGCTCCCACCATGGTAACACTACGCTTTCCATAAAGCCAAAGCTTTCACTCGCTGAGTGTTGTGCCTCATCCTCGAGGGATTTGCACCTGATCTTTGCTCCTAAAACTGCCTTTATGTCAAAAAGAGGTATAACAGTTTGCAACAAGACACTGATGTTCTATGCAAGTACAGTTATATTGGATTTGTTGGCTGCATTTAGTTATGTGTTAATTTTAGGAGAAAATACTTGATGTTTTATTGTGAGCTAAAAAAACCAAATTTCATTTCCTTATGCCTCTTCAGGTGATCTATGCTTTGTTATTCATTTTAGAAGAGAGAAATAATTGCAAAAGCACAATTGGAATTTCCTGGAAAAAAATTCTGAACAATGCAATAATTATGTAATATGAACTTGAAACAATAGAAAAAGCAAGATTAGATCAGTGAGATAGTAAAATGCTGATAAATTCTGTATACAATATTTGGTATGTAAAATCTCCGCTTTTAAATGGCATTGTTTGCCTTTAGATGAATAACCATCCCATTTGGAATAAAATGTGTTTTTCTTGAGTGGGAACAGTTTGTCAAGCAAGCCAGATTACTCTGTGAGGCAGTCCTATCCCTCCTCATCATTTCTCACTTCATACTCAAAGAAACTTGTCCAGAAGTTACTTTATTTTTTATTCCAATTCCTTGATAAAGTATTTAACAGCATCACGCCTATCACGATTTGCAATCCTTTGAGAAATGTCTATTAGATGATGTTTACCTACCAGCTACTTTTTGAGATCTCCCAGCCAGGTAGCTCCTAATTTGTTAACAAGGTGCTTGGTTAATCCCACATAGTACTATATTTTGAACTGAGCTATCACACAGTAATCAGTTCACAAATATCTCCTGATATAGCTACATTGTTAAATTCATAATTGCATTAAAAATAATAACAATGGAATAAATGTGGTAGTGATTGACCCTGATTATATTTTAATCCTTTGATCCATTCTTGATTAAATTCTGTATCAGCTTTCCTATTGTTTTTGTGGGACAGATGTTAAGGAGATTTTCCAATAATTTTGCAGGTCATCCCCTCTGCCTTTTTTAAAAATACTGTGTCTTCTTGGTGATGTTATAAGAGTCATTAATAATCAAGAGAGTAAACTGCTGCTGAAGGTCTTATGCAAATCTTTTAAAATCACTGTGGGAAATTTATCCAGGCACATGCATTTAAAAGTACTTCAGGCTGAAGATTTATCCCCATCTGTTTTCCTAGTGTATCAAAAAATAACTCCTGATAGTCATGGTATGAAATAACATCATCCCACTTTTTCTGAGATATTGGACACTAAAATTAGCCAAATTCTTCGGGGGGGGGGGGGGTCCATATAAATATGAAATAATTATTGTTTTCAGTTTGTCTTTAGCAGTCACTGAAGCCTTGGAAATAGTAATGACCAATTCCTTTTTAAACACCTCCACACTACTGGTTAGTGAAACTATTTAACTTACCTTTGCAGCCAGCATGCTCAGGTGATAGACGGCAAGTGTTCACAAAAGCAGTGTTATAAAAGTTGCCTCTTAGTTCCAGAGGAGTCTCACCTGTTCTGATTTCATAACTTGCAGCTGAAAATACAAATATTAGAGGATAGTCATGTGTGTTAGCTATCATTCAAACTTTTGATCTCTTTCAAAATAATTTGAAAATACTTTCAAAATATTACTTTCTTAGTATCAGTTTCATTAATTAGTTCAGCTACTGGGAAAAATAAATGCAGCATGGCAGATAGATCCGCAAAAAACCCTTATTTTATTACCAAAACTGAGTGCTTGAATGATTAAATTTCTCACAGCACAGAACTGAAATGAATAGATGATGGCAGCCATCATGAACCCACACTGAAGTCTCCCAGTATTTCTGACTTCACTGAATTTGACCTTGCACTAAATGAAGTAAAATTCCTATTTCTTGTTCAAATTTGATGTTTCTTTCCACTCTTTCCTTATATTCACAGAGTATATGTCTGTCTTCCATGAGTAGCAAAATACTACAACATAGTGAAAGAGAGCCTTCCATTAAAATTCCAAGAAGCTCTTTACAAAAACACATTGGTTAATTCCATTTAAAATCTTTGCAAGAGCAGAGCAAGAATAAAGCCCTGGAACCACTGCACAAAATTCCCACTGGTGTCATTGAGACTAAACTCCATTACAGAACTTGTGTTGTGTGATGTATATCACACAGGATTACTAGGATAGCATATTTAAGCCATTTATAGTTAACAAAAATTTGATTCATGATGAAGAATGAGAAATGTTGAGTCTTCAGTTTCTGCTACAAAGTACAGACAAAAATTGAGTTGGCTCTTATACAGGGTGCTTCCAGATGCAACAAAATACTGTTGATAAAGGTTGAGAGCTCAATTAAAATGCCCACAGAAAATGTATTCATTTTGCAATTTCACCTTGGGCAGGAGGCAGGATAGCAAGGCAAAAATGTACCTTGGCCTTCATCAAAATGATTTCCTGGGGCAGTCCACGATAAAATGACCTTATCATCTTCTATGCTGGCATCAAGATGAATAATTTTACATGGTGGAAACACATCAGCGTTAAGGTCCCATTGAAACTGCAGACACTACGAAGGAGCCTTCTGCAGCTGTTCTATGGAAACTTCCTCTTCTGATCTGAATATCATTTTTAATAGCTGAGGGTCTTGATGGGTTTGTCTTGATTTTACCGCAAGCTTTAAAAAATGATGATTACTCTTAACTATATGCATATTCCTGTAGTATGCAGGTGACCTGAACTTCACCTCATTTATATGGTTTTAAATCTGAAAAATTCGTTAACCTCAATTAAGTACAATAATTTCTAGTGCAATAGCTATTTCTTTACAGTTTCAAGAGTGCTAATTACTAAGAAAGCTACTATGAAATTGAAGTAACTGTTGTTATAATTACAGGACAGTTTAATTTACTGAAACTTCAACAGTTCTTAATTTAAGATGACTGATTATAGTACTGTAGTTAATAAACCTGCAGTTATTCTTTTCACAGGCAAACACAAATCCTGTCTATCTGTAGTATACAGACACTGTTCTATTACAGCTGTTTACAGTCTACTTTAAATATTCTTCTGGGGAATGCAGACTTTTCTTGTGTTAAAGGGAAACAACCACACACAGTGTTTGAAAAGTGTTCAACACTAAATACCTCTTCGCTGGGCTGTCATTGCTCTAGTGCCTACCCTCAGTATTTGTGAAGGGACTTGACGTATACAAATGCTGGAATAAATAGCTGTATAATTTTCTCTGCCTTACTTCACTGTACCATTTTCTACATGACCTGGTATGGACATGGCATGACTCCATGGCATTGCAGTTTGTGGCACGATAGTTCTGTTAGCTTGGATGTAAAATTTCAGGCTGTATCTGCCATTCTCAGGGAAAGTAAACAAGTACTTGGAATAGATCCCATCATTCTTAACAATATCAGAACCTAGCTATAAAAATGACATAAATTAACATCAAACAAAAATGGTTGTATTTATTCATGCTATCTAGATTCATTTATCCAGAATATAAGAATAACAGGAAAATTCTTCTCTGATAACAATCTGTGCAGGTCCTCTGGTTTTGATGGTATGTTAAAACTGTTTGAGAAGACTGCAGTCTTAAGTTAAGATGCCTTTTCTTACTGTGTTTCAATGAAAAGAAATCCTAATTTCCTAACAAAATCATCTATTATTTCATTATAAAGCTAAAGAACAGATTCTTTTCAAAATCTGTACAGTTTTTAATTACTTCCCACATGCTTCTGTAGTCACACATTTGATTCTGCAGATTGGGTGCTTCTCTGTTCTGGTTATGCTCATTACAGAATTCAGCCACCTACAATGATAAACAAATAGACAAAAATCAGAATTAAGCAACAAAAGAGTAACAAATAAAAATAGGGATGGAAATAAATCTTAACTGCTGATTTATATAGTTGAAACCTCAGCTGATGGTAAACTTCATTTTACAGTTATAACAGTATGCATTCCAGTTTATTTACTTACATAAAAGTTGAAATAAATATTACATTTCAAAAAGGAGGATATAGCAAATTTTATAACAGTATGTTTCATTGAAAGAAATCTGTTCTTATGTGTTTGTACTTACAGATGATAAACTTCGCATATATATTATTGACAATTCTGCAGTTTAATTTCTTTCAGGAATAAATGCATATCCTTCCTTAAAAAGCCATGTTAGCTTATTAATGACATAATTACCTTCAGTGCAGGCCTTTTTTTTTTCACAGATATAGATACTGGTAAGATCAGAGGAACACCTAAGGATAAAACAGGATACACTTCCACTTAAAAACCCTATCTGAATATAGTGCTGACATTAATGGTGCTTGGAGTGTAGTCTGCACTCTGTCCATGTAAAAAAGTTATGCTTATAAAAAGATATGAATATACATTCCAAAATGACATGAAGAATAATTATTGATTTGTTTGCTTCTCCATCATTTCAGTCT